TATCTGTTCAGGATAGGGGGCATTCAGTTTCCGGAGTGTGAGAATGAGTCAGGGTGGGTTGCCAAGCGTTGCCAGAGTTGATCCGGCAAACAAGTACATGTCGGCCCAATCACAACTTCGTAAAGTGATCACAACCCCGAGGATTTCAGAAGTAAAACCAGGCGAGATTGGATATGACGTGTTTGGTTGGATTTGCCCGTCTCCAGCGGGGCAGCCGCGGACTTGAAGGACTGAATGGACACTCTGAGCCGTCGGAAGCGATTCACCTTTTTTTTTTTTTTTTTTTTTTTTTTTTTTTTTTTCGTGATTCAGTTTCGGGTTTTTCCCGTTCTCACAGGTCGTCGCGCTCGAATCGAGTGCAGCCTGCATTTGCGAAATGACGATAATGTTGTTGCTCGTGTGATGCGAGGGTTTCTGCCTCTGTTTACCTGACAATCTCGCTGTGGTGCAGGTAGGTCGGCCAGTGACTGGGAATGATAAAGTCACTGAAGCTCATCAATTCTGCACAAGCAAACCACGAAGTCAGTCGTGAGCAGCCATAAAAACGAGAACATGCGTGTAGCGATATCACGATGCAATGTCTTTCGTAGTGTAATCCGAGGCCGCAGCTGGACGTGCATCGAGTCGGCGTACCTTTGCTCGTGTTGATGACGGTCGACTTGTACACGGAACTGTGCGCCTCCTTGTCCGTGTAGCGCCACAGCCCGCCGATGTCAGCCTACGTGCGCAGACAAGCATCCACAAAGCAAATCCAAGCGCAAAAACCAAACATGTAGCAGCAACATTGCAAGTCAGTTCTGATGTCTTCCGTCTGGGCGGCAGTTGAGTGGAGTCAGAATTGGCAAATTCTTTTTCAATTGACTCTCGCACTGCTGTTCTATTCACCATCGCACAGTGAAAGAAGGACCCACTGAATCGCTTGCATTAGCTTTTGATAGAATCACGCAAACAACGACAACAAAAAACCAAACTCAGACCTCTTGCTCAAAGCACACAGGCTCCATGCCTTCCTCGAGGCTGCACTTGATTGCAGCAAGACCGGACGCTCCAGCGCCAATGATTCCAACGCGTTTGGTCATGGAATTTTTTTTTTGGTTGTTTTGCTTCCGATGGATGAATAAATGAAATGTGGGGGAATGAGTGAAAAGATGAACGAAATGAAGAGTGCGAAACTCGGAAGCTCAAATTGAGACCAATTGTTCAATCTGCCGATCTTCCAGTTGTCAGCAATTAGACAAAGTAGCAAAGTCAGTTCATCTATTTTAGTCCCCCTTCTGCACAAACCAAACTCAGTCCCATTCTTGATCAAGCATTAAACGCATAGCCGCAAAGCCAAAAACAACAACAACAACAACAAAACAATCGGGTTTCAATGTCGTTTCAAACCGCTTTGATCGCCAACAACCGCTCTCACCCCGCCGCAGCCGCAGCCGCATCCCCGCTGTCGCCGGGCTCCTCATTCTCCTATGCAGACACGGATGCAGACATGCGCCAGACTCGCCTGTAAGGTCGCTCCCTCGGCTCAACCTCCAAACAGCAGCTGGCTGCCTCGTTGCCTCGCCGTTACCACCATCTCTGACCTGCTGGCCGAGCTGGCATTCCCCTCAGTCGCATCCTCTCACCCCATGAGCCTCACCAAATCCATCCCATCATCATCATCATCATCAGCAGCAGCATCATCGTCTCTCTCTTCCCCATCCCAATCACTCAGCTTGGCTCAACGTTTCGATTCGCTGGTTTTTTTTTTTTTCAATGCAATGAAATTTGGATTGCTCGATTTGGCGCCAAATTTTTGAATCACTGTGGTTTTGAAACGATGACTTTTTATGGCCTTGTTCAAGTTTTGAAGCCAAAGAAGGCATGCAAAATGGTCGGACGAGTCACTCACGACTGAAGACTTGCAATGTGTATCGCTTTGAATGTCCATGCAGGCAATACGAGCAGCAGTTGGCCGACGGCGCTGCAGACGATCCTCTGGACCAATGGTCGGCGTAAGTAGCATCATCCACGCTCACTTGGTGCTGCAAGCTTCTTGATGCTCCGTTCCTCATGGTTGTTTCACTCTACTTGATGGCAGCTACATTGGCTGGATTCGACAGACGTATCCAGGTTGCCACACCACGCCGCAGATTGGCGGACTGGCATCCGTACTCGAGCGCTGCTGCTTTGCCTTTCAGCGCGACGAGCGATATCGCAGCGACGTGCGCTTTTTGCGCATTTGGATGAGCTTTGTACGAACAAGAGCAAAAGAGAGAGAGAGAGAGCGAGAGAGAGAGAGAGAGAGAGAGAGAGAGACACAGAGAGAGAGAGAGAGAGAGAGAGAGAGAGAGAGAGAGAGAGAGAGAGAGAGAGAGAGAGAGAGAGAGAGAGAGAGAGAGAGAGAGAGAGAGAGAGAGAGAGAGAGAGAGAGAGAGAGAGAGAGAGAGAGAGAGAGAGAGAGAGAGAGAGAGAGAGAGAGAGAGAGAGAGAGAACAGCAACGTTGAAAGCAAGAAAGCTCATCGCCCATTTGCAATATTGGCTTTTGTACTCTGTTCCTTGCTTGGTAGGCCGAAATCTGCAACAACGCACCCGACGTGTTTGCCTACCTGCTCCAGAACAGAATTGGCACTCAGCACGCTCTGCTGTACGAGTCGTGGGCTAGTGCCTTTGAAAAGCAGCTCGCCTTTGCTTCTGCTCGCCAAGTCTACGAAGCTGCCATTGCCAAGTAAGATCGTCACCACTCGGCACATTTTGCTGTGATAGTTGAGCTCGGCACTTGACGACGATCTGCACTCAATACGGGTCCTTTTGCCTTGTGGTCTTTCAGTAACGCCATGCCAATCGACCGGCTGAAGCGTTCGTTCGCGTCCTTCCAACGACGTGTTGTCATCAACAATGCCAATGCGATGGACGCCCCATCCATGCCAGTCAAGCCAGTGGCTGTGCAGACCGGTGTTGTGTTTGACGGATTCAAGTCGCTGCAGTCGCCGGCTCCAACTATCTCTGTCAAAACGATGCAAGATCAACCAATCAAATCGACCACGTCATGGGCTGGTCAGCAGGTACGACGAAGACTAATCGACCACGTCATGGGCTGGTCAGCAGGTACGACGAAGACTTGATCTGAGGTTGTGTGTGTGTGTGTGTGTGTGTGTGTGTGTGTGTGGATTATCCCCACAGCCACAAGCACTCATCTTATCCCGCGATTTACTTTTGAAACGTGTCTCGGATTTAGCTTGTTGGATCACCAGTGTCGACGCCCGCTGCCACTAAAGCGAGTTTCAGTGTGTGGGAGGACCCAGAGCTGGCCGCTTTGCCCGAACAACGGTACAATGACATGCGAGTTTAAACTGGCGGTTTTGTGTGCACTCGCCCCGCTCACCACCACCCCCAACACACACGCACACCCTGTTCTGCCATTAGATCTGATGTAGCTGGATCCGCTGCACAGCGAGTCGATGGCCACAAGGCACGTCGGACGAGTGAGTCGCAACGCATAGGGTAAGGTCAAACCGAAGACTGGGTGGTTGAGCTTCCTGCGCACTCACGCTGCTGCTACTTGGAACACGTCGTGCCTGACAGACAAGCGCCCATCCCGTCATCTCAAGCCGCAACGCCGCGAGACACGGATGGCTCTGGCTACTATTTCAGCTTTGCATTGAGCACTCTGGTCGATGCTCAAGGCAAAGAGATGCAGGTGGAGGAGGTTCGCGCGCGCCACCAAGCAGCTCGTCGCATGGCATTGCAGGCTGAACAACAGCGCCTGCTTCAGGTGGCCCAGCAGGAGGCAGAGGCGCGACAAGCCACGGCTGCCCTACAAATGGAGGCTGCTGCGCAACACCTGCCAAGTACGGAATCGCAAATCCAAACTCCTTTGGCACTGCCTGAGATTGCACTCCTTAAGATCGATGACGAATCGCAACCACAATCCTCACCTGCGACCGAGCCAGGCGAGTTGATGGTCGCGAGCAGTGTGACGTCGCTGGCACCCTCTCCAATGGCCCCAAGCCCTGCACCTGCTCGCATGACGCCGTCTCCGCTCCCGATTGCTGCCATGCCAGTCTCCGCAGTGCTCGACGAGAACCAACAGGATTCGACGCCCACATCGCCGTTGGCACGACCGTCGCCCGTTCGCGTTTTGGCCAGCCATGTGTTTGACATGGCAGAGCCAGCAGCTGTTGGCACCATCTCTTCGGGGCATAGTGTGTCGCCGGTGCGTGTATCGAGCGGTTCAGAGTCCAGCTTTGCCCGCGTGCACTCTGGGTCGTTTTCCGTGTCGCAGCCTTCAACTCCCATCGCCCCTGCTTCCAAGCGCGAATTTGCCAGCCCCGTGGTTACGCCCGTCATGGCCATTGCCACAGCTTTGCCAAGGGAGCTGGAGCCGTTGCGGGTCGTTGCACCTCGCATTTCGCCGTCGCGAGAGGCTTTGGCGCCTCTGGATTACCTTTTTGTTCAACCGTCTGCACATCAGTCAACGTCTGCCGAAGAAGAGCTCGTGGTCGAGTGCGAGCAGCGAACAAGTTCTTGAAGAGCTCGAGAAGAGCATTCTTGCGCAAGATTTTGTCGTATTCGAGCAGACGGAGCAGACGACCGAGGTTGCTGAGCCCCCTGCTGCTGCTGCTGCTGCTGCTACTGCTGCTGCAGCAAACCCAATTCCTCCCTCCGAAGCGCCGCTTCTTGATTTTGGGCTTGATGACGAGATTGCACCGATGGGTCTTGACGATGACGTGCTGCCCACAGCGGCGCGCCATGCACCCGCGCGACGACTTTCAGTCACTCCCGAGTTCCGCTGCAACTTTACAAGCACAATGACGATGAACCTTCCGATGCCACTTGCTCCTGTCTGTGAGGACGCGGCCGAATACGGTGACGAAAATGCCGATTCGACCAATTCGCAGTCTGCCCAACAACCCTCCGCTCCAGTCGAATCGCGACCCATCAACCCATTCCAGGCCGACATTATTGACGAGTGCATTGGCCGAGCTGTGGAGATGCTTCGCGAGGCAGACCCGCTGTTTATCAGCATGCCCGAAACCGAGGAACTTCCCGCTGCGCTCTCTTCCCCGAAGACTGCTACGAATACCGTCGTTACATTGCCATTCCCGGATTCAGCGACTGGTGAGATGCAGCCGCGCGTCTTCCGCATCAATCGACCGCTCGGAGAGGGCATTTACGGCCAAGTGTATTTGGCGAGCGACGAGTCGGCCAACGAGGAGGAGCGACTTCCTCCCGTTGCACTCAAGGTCGAGAAGCCGGCCACTCCATGGGAGTATTATGTCTGTACAGAACTAGGCCGTCGTCTGAACGAGCTCGATCTTGCCACAGCGGTAAGTGCACGGTTGCTGCCTTTTTTTCTTCCCAAAGCCGTTTTTTTTCCCTCATACTTACACTCACCTGATTTGTCCTTTGGGTGTTCTAGTCGCGATTGTTTGTTGGTGCTTGTGCGACGCATCTGTTCTCGACCGCGAGCGTTACATCGATGGACTATTTCCCGCACAGCTCGTTGCTGGTATGGCAGTCGTTTCGACTGTCGTTTGTGTCTCTTTCACAACCCATTTGGAAATGCAGTAACCTAACTTTTTTTTTTTTTTTTGGGGGGGGGGCTACTTGTTGGCACAGGACGCCATTAACATGTACGCGAGGGTCAAAAAGTCCATGGACGAGGTGCTGGTCGTGTTTTACGCCATCGAGTTGTTCAAGATGCTCGAGTGCATGCATGCAAGCGGCATTGTTCATGCTGACATCAAGCCCGACAATTTGATGATTCGAGATGAGGAGAGGTACGGATGGGTTGCGTAAAAGCTGTGTGCGTTTCGATTTGCTTTTCACCTTGAGCCGCTTGAGCTAACAACTATTGGGTGGAATTGCAAACTCTCAGCGGCGAATGCACATCGGAAGAAGACTGGGATTCCACATGGCACCAAGACGGCAGTGCTGGCTGGGCGAGCAAGGGTCTGGCGTTGATTGACTTTGGCCGATCCATCGACTTGCTCATGCTGCCTGAAGACGTCCAGTTCTGCGGCAGCAGCAACACCGAGTCCTTCCTTTGCGTGGAGATGCAGAAAGGCACGCCATGGAAGTACCAAGTGAGTGATAGAGTTGGTGCTTGTATGGCAATGCTGAGCGACGCGGCTGACCACTTTCCTTGTTTAGGTGGACACGTATGCAGTCTTGTGCACAATCCACGTGATGCTGCACAACACTTACATGGAGGTTATTCAAGACCCGACCACCAAGCGCTGGAAGCCTCGTGTAAACTTTAAGCGGTAAAGCCCTCCCTCCATCAATTTGGAGATTTTTGGGTGTGAATGCTTTGGGCCGTGCGTGGCCGGCGTCTTGCGTGTTCTCGGGACTCATGATTGCGTATGGTGCTTTTGATGGTCATCTGCCTCCCGTGTTCGATGTTTCTGTCGTCAGGTACTGGCAAGCTGAAATGTGGTCGGAAATTTTCGACACTTTGCTCAACCCTGCGGATCCCATCGCGTTGCCGGACATTGCCTCTCTTCGCGCAAAGCTCGAGGCATATCTGCAGGAGAATCCAGCAAAGTCCAAGCTCATCAAGTCGCTGCTGATCAAGTTGATTTCGCAACTTGCCGGTCGATGATTCGTGACGGGTTTGGAGGCAATCGAGGTGTATGTGTGGAATAAAATGAAGAGGCTTCAGTATGTTCTCAGTTCGTACTGTAGCATTGATGGCGCGATGCTTCATGGTGATGGCTGGAGATGGAGATTGATGATTCTTTCTTTTGGTTTGACTATTTTGCCTTGCGCATAATTCCATCTTGCCTTCCCAACTTTGACACTCCATTCAGTCTCTTCTTTGTTCACAGCACAACCTTTTTTCTCCCCCTCCCTTAAATGCTTTCCGTTGTGTGAGTTGATTGTTCGCTGGATTTTGCATTGCGCATTGTCTTGTTGCTCCTTTGCTTCGCTTCTCCTTTCGCTGTCGCTCATCCTTTTGCCTTTCTATTGCTTGGACTCTGTGCTGTGCTTCTGTTGACCCATTTGTCGCGCCTCTAGTCGCGCGTTGAGCATTCGCAATGCTCGGCCAGCCAGCAGCAGCAGCAGCAGCAGCAGCAGCATCACAGTCACAGCGATCGCCGCCGCTGCGCTCCGCCCGGCTGCCCCGATGACACTCCGTGCTGCGACTGTTGCTACCTCGTCCTATGCCTACTATGGCACGGCGGCTGCCGGCACTGCTGGGTTTGGCGCTGCTCGCGCTGGCCTCGGTCACGACGGCAAGCTTTTTGACAAGATCGTGATTGCAAACCGAGGCGAGATTGCCTGCCGCGTCATCCGCACTGCGCGCCGCATGGGCGTCAAGACCGTCGCAGTCTACTCGGACGCTGATGCCAAGTCCATGCACGTCCAGATGGTAAACGCAGATGGAGCCCGTCGCTCGTGCTCGCTCCTCCATAATCCCCTTCGACTGAGGCGGATTGGTCACGTATGCTGCCCTTCCTTCAGTCACGTCTGCCAGCGCCTTCCTGCGCTCTCGTTGCAGTGATTTGTGGCTTTGCACTTGGTGCCGATTGCGTGTGCGATTCGACACGGGAGCTGGGGGAGGAAGTGATGAAGGGGGACCGTTTTTCAAAATGGACGTGCGATGGTCACGACTTTGGCTTGAGTCAAGCATTATGGTTGGAAAAAAAAATATCGTACAGCCAGTCGGTCGAACTTCTTCTCAGCTGCAACAGCATCAGGCATCAGGCATCAGCATAGATGAGACGTCTGGTGTTGGTGTTTTGTTTGGTTTGTCGGACTGCAATCGATCTTTGGCCCACTCACTCACACTGATTGCTTGCTCCCTCTCTCTCTCTCTCTCACTCTCTTGTCCCCTTGCAACACTACCCCCCGCTCATACACTAGGCTGACGAGGCAGTCCGCATTGGCCCGGCCGTGTCTCGCGAGAGCTACTTGCGGATGGACAAGATCATTGAGGTTGCCAAGCGCACTGGCGCGCAGGGCATCCACCCTGGCTACGGCTTCCTCTCGGAGAACGCCGCGTTTGCCGATCTCTGCGCCAAGGAGGGCGTCGTGTTCATCGGCCCGCCCGCATCGGCCATCCGCGACATGGGCTCCAAGAGTGCGTCCAAGATCATCATGTCGGACGCCAAGGTGCCCGTCATTGGCGGCTACCACGGCTCGGACCAGTCGGTTGCCCGCCTCAAGGCCGAGGCCGACAAGATTGGCTACCCCGTGCTGATCAAGGCCATCATGGGTGGCGGTGGCAAGGTGACGGATTTTTTTTTTTTTTTTGTAGTTGCGTGTGTTTGTGCTTCGAGGCTCACGGTGCTCTTTCTCTCTTTGTTTTCCTCGGCCTCCCGTCGCTCTTTGTTCATCCATCTCTCTTTGTCGGACAACAGGGCATGCGTATTGTCGAAAAGCCCGAGGATTTCGAGGCCATGCTCGAGTCTTCCAAGCGCGAGTCGCTCAAGTCGTTCGGTGATGACAATGTCCTTGTCGAGAAATACGTGCTCAACCCGCGGTAAGTGTTGACTTAAGTCAACGAGTTTGCCATTTTTCGAAACATTGCGAATGAAAACAAATTTTTTTGACAAAAAAACACTCAATCCGACCTGACACGACTCCAAACCCTTCCTCAGTCACGTCGAAGTCCAAGTCTTTGCCGACAAGCTTGGCAACGGTGTCTACTTGTTTGAGCGTGACTGCTCGGTCCAGCGCCGTCACCAAAAGATCATCGAAGAGGCTCCCGCGCCAGGCCTCTCTGACGAAGTCCGCCGCAACCTCGGCGAGACTGCCGTGCGTGCTGCCCAAGCCGTCAACTATGTCGGTGCCGGCACTGTCGAGTTTATCATGGATCCCAAGCAACAGTTCTACTTTATGGAGATGAACACTCGTCTGCAAGTCGAGCACCCTGTTTCAGAAATGATTACAGGCCAGGATCTCGTCGAATGGCAGCTCCGTGTACGAGATTATCTGTGGCAGCTGAGTTTTTGTTTGTTTGTTTCGGGGGCTCACACAACGTTTTTTTTTTTCTCGATCACGACAGGTCGCTTGTGGTCAGCAACTTCCTCTCAACCAATCTCAGCTGCGCATCAACGGCCATGCGTTCGAAGCCCGTGTTTACGCCGAGAACCCTTACAAGTGCGTATTCTGCCTGGGTCGAGTTTGGTTTTACTTCTTCCCTTGTCTGACTCTTGCGTCTGTTTTTTTTTTTTTGCACAGGAACTTCCTTCCCGGAACTGGCCCGCTCCTCCATTTGCGACCACCGGCAGAGTCTTCCACGGTCCGTGTTGAAACCGGTGTCCGTCAAGGTACTCGATCTGACAAACTTTTGATTGTTGCGGGCTTGAGGAGAAAACAACACCAGCATGACTCACTTGCTTGTCATTTTGGTGTGCTCTCGTCCTCCGCAGGCGACCAAGTCAGCGTGCACTACGATCCTATGATTGCAAAACTTGTCGTCTGGGACACTGACCGCAGCGCTGCACTCCGCAAGCTCGCTCAAAACCTGCAAGACTACCACATTGTTGGCCTCAACACCAACCTCAAGTTCCTCAAGGACTTGGCGCTGCACCCAGCCTTTGTTGCAGCTGAGGTCGAGACTGGTTTCCTTGCGGTATGAATCAGGAGCGGATTTGATTATTTTTGGCACAATTGGAGTCGTCTCATTTTTTTTTTTGGTTCTCCGTTGATGCTCCAAAACAGAAACACGGCGAGTCTCTTCTTGCTCCTCCCAAGCTACCTGCCTCCCATAACGTTGTCCAGGCGGCCTTGGCTTCTATCCTGATTGAACAACAGGCTCAACTCATCCCAGGTAAATTCCCTATGAATTGATTGATTCCGGCTTTGTCCTGTAGTTCGTGCCTTCTTTGTGACTCACTGATGTCTTCTTGGTATTTGGTGTTCTTGTTCCCAGCCCACCCGTACTCGTCGTTGGTTGCAAAACGTTTCAACCACAGCGCGACGCGCGACTTTACGCTCAACTATCCCCTCGATGATGAGCAGCATGAAACCGCGCGTTTCCACGTCGCTGTCAACGCCGACGGCACCTACGACGTGACTGTCGACGCGTTTGGCAAGCCCAAGGTTTGTAGTGTGGCGGTCATCGGGCATCATTGGCTTCGAATTGCCGTGACCTCACTTTGACTTGCACACAAATGTCGACAGTATTCAATCACAAACATCAAGTCCTCGCTGAAGGATGGCGTGCTTTCGTCCTACATTGGCGACGGCTTCTACCAAACCAAGGTTGTTGTTCAGGGCAACTCGCTCAACTTCTTTGGCGATGTAAGACAGCTCTGACAGTTGCAACATTCTCGAGTTTTGCGCAACGATGCTCATTCCTTTGCCGTTCACTGATGTGCAGGACACCTCGTTCCGCTTCGACTATGTCATCCCCGAGTACATTTCTGCCGCGCACCAAGGTGACACTGCCTTCTCGGTCAGCGCGCCCATGACTGGCAAGGTCGAAAAGGTAAAATTTTGATCGCGCAATGGTAGTGCAATTGCTGATGGGAAAAAGTCCTGACGTTTGCGCTTGTTCTCCTCCCTGACAGGTTCTTGCCAAGGCTGGACAAACCGTCGCCAAGGGCGAGGCGCTTGTCATTCTCGAAGCCATGAAGATGGAGGTACGGAAAAACGATTGCGGGTGAATGTGTTGAGAAAAAGTTTGACACTCATTTCTTTGGCTTTGTTTTTTTTTTTTTTGTTTCGCAGTATGTGCTTCGCGCTCCTTTCGCTGGTGTCATTGAGAAGGTCAACTACAACCCGGGCGACCTTGTTGAGCAACACGCACTGCTGGTTTCGTTTAAGGACGATCACAAGAAGTAAAACAGAACAGCAGCAAAAAAAAACAAAATCAAAAAAACAAATTACGAAGTTTGTTGGCTGTAGTTATCCCGTCTCGTTGTCCTTCCTTGGCCTTCATATAAACAATTCAGAGCACGTTGTTCTTCCATTGGCTTTGTAACGCCAAACACTGTTGGCATTCGAGGAGGTAGCACAAATGTATTATTTTCAAAAATCCACGGTCAACCAACAACAGTACGAGGGGCACCCGTTGCTTGATCCGACAACATTGACAGAAAGGCAGCCGAGATAGTTCTTCATGTTGTTGAGCGCGCGGGAGGGGAAACGGACCACTGTCAATGGTGCGAGGGATCGCCTTGTGTGTGGTGAGATCCGTGATGGCCCTTGTGTTCCCATGCCTTGCGATAGCCCTAATCAGCGCAACAAAGCCAAATTCAACCCAGACCATGAATCAGTGTCAGCATGGGCAGATGACGAGACGCAACGCGATGATGGTGGGAATGAGCGACTGGAAGCGGCAGGGATTCTGGACTGGTTTCGTTTCCTAAACCCGCACCAAAGCTCAACTCCAAACCACCACTGCAGGTCACTCATCCGCTTGATCTTGCAATGCGAGAGAAAGCGAGCCAGAGTGAGAGCGAGCGAGAGTGAGTGTGTGTGAGCTCGAGTCCACAATGCATGGCCCACTGCTTTTCCCTCTCTGTGCTCTCTTCGTTCGTTCGTTCCTTCTCCTTCCCACTCCACTCTGGCTGCTGCATCATTTTGGCTTGCAATGAGCACCACCAAGACCCAAATGCAACTCGGCGCGGTTGCCTGTGTGTGCCAAGTGGCCATCCTCTCGCTCTTTCGCTCTCTCTTCCGCTTGGATGGCTTCTGCAGTTGTGATCGCGTACCAGGAGCACGTCGCCGTCCTCGCGCAGTCGGTGGAAGACCCAGAACCACATGGTGGCGCCCATCAGCTTGCCAGCGTAATGGTGCCACGTCTTGCCGTGTGCTGCTACTGCTGCGCCACCCATTGAACAAAAGGGAAAAAAAAAAAAAAAGAGTGAAGGAAATGAAAGGATGGACGTGCAAAAAACAGTGAACTTTTAGTAAAGCTTTGTTGGAAAGCGCGTTTTGATGGAAGATTTGATATCAAGTTCGATTTAGCTTTTTTCTTTGTCATGAATGTCTGTTCATTGTATTTTTGCTTCACTCCTACAAAAATCTCAAAATCACAACAAAAAGTTGGTGAAAAATGTCGTGGATTCAAGCCAAAGTAAGGACTTCCAATGCTTTTCTCAATGCTTTCTCAATGGAAATGCATTGGACTTTTTGGCTCCACTTTCACGCAACAAAACAAAAACCCTGCCGCTCAATGTTTGATCGCTCCGACTTGATCATGACTAACAAGTCATCAGGCTGGAGTCGGAGTGAAGCCAGCCACGCGTCCAGTAGTGGAGATCTCGCGCTTTCCCCCCATTTCACTCCATCACTTCATCACTCCATCACTCCATCACTCGATCACTCGAGCACGCGATCACTCGAGCACTCCATGGACAATGATCAGTCCGTCGTCACTCACTCACTTGACTCACTTCTTCCCTTCTAACGCTCTGCTCTTTGTTGGTCCTTTGGACAGAATCTCTTCACACACGCGCTGTCCCCTCGCGAGCGCGCACGCCGTGCCATCATCCAGGCCTTCCGCGGCGGCATCACGCAGCTCGTTGCAACGCGTCGCTGGCCGCGCGCCACCCTCGCGCACATCCCGAGCAACGAAGACTCGTCCCAGGCGCACAAGGCCTACTTTGCCACCCAGCAGCAGCCGCTCTCGTCCACCATGCAGACTGCAGCGAGTTTGTTTGATGTGACTGCAACAACGGGTGCAGCTCCTGGCGCTTGGACGCGCGCGGGCCCTTCTACGACGACAACGACGACGACGACGACGACGCCGCGCAGGTCGTACTCGACGATGCGCATCGTCCCGGATTTTCAATCGGCGCTCGGGTCGCTTGCTG